TGTTGTAAGAGATACAATCAATTTGATATTTTAGGGAGGAAACAGTTCAACTGGTTTCTTAGAGAGAAAAAGGGTTCTGAGAGAATGGAGTGTTGAGACTAGGAAAGTTATGCATTAATTACTGAGGAACAGATTCAAAGGAACCTGGTAGACCACACAGCCACCTGACTGTATACGATTGCTGGGGAGAGTGATACCGCCAGCTATTGGTAACAATAACCTGCTTCCCCACATGTTGAAGTATAACATTAGAGACGTACACCAAAGCAAGCATATAAAGCAGGGTTTATTTTTAAAAAGGGTAATATTTGTCCTGGGAGGGAGAAGGGGGCCATAGCTGGTTTCCTTGTATCTCAGTAAGTGACAAATTCCTGAAGAATATCTTCAAAGCCAACCTAGTGGACCACACAGCCACCTGACTGTGCAGGATTGCTGGGGAGAGGAGCCCTCTTCCACAAAGAAAGCAGTCAGGGTATTTGGAACAGCTGGTCAACCAGAAGTAGGTCTGCCACAGCTGTTTTCATCACAATGCAAGCCCTGAATGTGTGCCATCTCAGCATCATCAATACACTTAAAAACCAGACTGCTGAACACAGCTACAGAATCTGGAACAGTTATCCTTACACAGAGGGGAGGCAGACAAATTTTTAGTTTGTGGTTGTCAGTGTAGCAAAATCTTAATAGGCAAATAGATTTCATAGTTAAGAAAAACAGAATCCAGCTCCCTAATTATGTTAAGCTAGAAATACCAATATGAACACATGACTTCAAAGGGATTCCTTGGAGAGTAGATGATTCTGTTTCTTAAAGCAAGAAGAATCAGAAATAGTATATGGAAATCTGGTTGAAAACATAGGCAAGTATATTTCAAGGAACACCAGAGGCAGTGCTCCAGGGAGCTGCCAGAAAGAGGTCTGCCTGACTGAACTGAAGCAATCTGGTCCATCAAAAAAGAAGACAATGATCTTGCTTCAGTCTGTGGAAAGCCAGAAGTTCAAAGCAATAATCCACAGAATAATATGCAGAGTACAGAAAGGAAGTTGTTACACAAAAAAGATAACAGCCCATGCATAATTATTTGTTTTAATTTCTAAAAGGGGAGTGTTATTAAAACCTACTTGTTGATTCTACATCTATTTATGGAATACAGATGCGTACTTGTTTCCTATATATATAATAGGAAAGAATAAAGATCAAGAACTCTGAATAAGCCAAACAATTCCAAAAAAAACAAAAGAAGTATTCCAAGATAAGGAAGGACTGTAGAGTATAGGTGGTGACAAAAGTAGTCAGGTGGAGAGAGAGAGTCTGGCACTAATGTTCACAGTCAATAATGAAGCAGAGAGGACCCATAAACATGATCCTAAATGATAAATCAGCCAAATGGCCTAAAGAGCATTGGGTAGAGTCAATCCTTTGTCTCCCAGGAGATGCAAACCTCTAGACAGTCCAACTAATCTCAATAAAAAATGAAAAAGGCATACATAAGCTTTTAATAATGTTCACAGGTCAAGCCAATACATCATTATGACAGGACAATGGATTGTATAAAATTGGCCAAGCGAGACAGGAAGTAAATCATTGCAGGGCAATGCGGGTGGGGGCACCAGATTGTAAATAAGAATCTAACCTGAAAGTCATGTACTTACAAATAAAAAAAAAAAAATCTGACTGACTTAAGCTCAGGATGATACTGGTGGCCAAGGTCTGACTCACCTTGGGAGAAGAACCTAAAGAGGTTCCATGTTCTCAGCAACATTGATATGTTCAGTTGAAACCAAATCTGTAATCACAGCAAGTTTGAGGGGGTATCCTTGTGTTTCTGATGGTGCTAATATCATGTTATCTCTGGGTAAGTAGCAGAATAACAAACAACTCTAGGAAATGTCCAAATGAGAGAAACTTGAGGTGTGGATCTTTCTGAATAGGTTCCAGTTTGGTAAGTATATAAAATGTATCTGGGCATGTCATCTATTCTTTAAGGTACTTGAAGTATTAAAAAAAATTACATCGATTGTTTTTAAACATCACATAATTATGTAAATTATTTATATCCAATTTTATAACTAAAGTTTAAAAAGTGAATATTTGTTTGCTACCACTTAAGTCTTTAATAATAAATTGAGTATTAAACAACACTACACACAAGTGTTTTTCCCCCTCCATGTTTGGAAGGCCTCCAGACACTCACCAAAAAAAAAAAAAAAAGTCAGTGTAGTAACTAGTTAGCAAGACTTTCATTTCTTGAACTGGCTCCTTTTCATACACAGACTTTAGAAACATTCCAAAAGAAGCCACAAAAGGAAAACATGCCATATACAGATTTTAAGTCCAATCACCAAAATAGTAACAGTGGTTTTCACTTGGTATTGAGATAGTGGGTGTTGTGACTTTTTCTTTTGACATTCCAAATTTTCCAATTTTTTCACAATGAGCATATGTTACTTTAAAAAAAAATAAGAAAAAGATAAACATTTCCTGGGGAAAAGTATAAGGCCACCCACCATGAAGGTAAGTCACTCTATATGGGCCAGAGCTTGAGAATTTGCCCTGGGGCTGCTGTTGTGACATTCTCTGGAGTCCAGCTTGAGAACACCAAGATAGACTGACAAAGGGTTCAATGAATGATATAGGCAAAGAGACTGGGGTCAGAAATAAGATGAAAGAGGTGAGGGGTAGGCAGGAAAAGGGAAAACAGACACAGATAGGAAGTCAGGGCAAGAAACCCAGGGGATTATGGGTTGTAAAGCCCAAATCAAGATGACAGGGAACAGGAGACAAGTTTGGTCAGGGCCACGAGCTAACTCTGTAGATTAAGTCAGGCCCACAGGCTGGGGCAGGAGGAAAGCAGTGCCTGGCAAGCTTAACTACCTGGAGCAATTTTTCTCCTAGCTCTTGAGCTATAATCAGAATTTCCAACTTGCCTAATTCTCTGCCAGGTAATGATAACTCTGTACATGTTTGCTCATTTTCAGCATCATTTCTAACTGTGCTGCAAGGGCAAATTTGCCATACTTAATTCAAGGATCATGCTACCCCGTTTCCAAATGTGTCTTGTCCAACACAGCTGAAAACAAGCCTCACATGAGTGATTGTATGCATTCTAAACAGAGGCAGGGAAAAGCTTTGACAAAAATATCTTTAGAAACACTTTTGATTTCTCAGTTCCATAGTGAGAGGTAGCCACAGAGTACAGAGAAAAAGTAAAGGATATTCTCCCAGGGAATGTTATTTACTAAATAAATGTTGCTTTCAAAGAGAGTTCCTACTTAAGGTCAGATCTAGCAAGTGACAGGACCCAAAAGGAATCCCCTCCAAGACTGACAAAAAATAATGGAGTAACGGAAATGAGTAATGGAGAATAAGTTTCCAGAAAACATTACATCAACATTTGCATGCAATTGGCAATAGTATGTAAGAAGTTGCTCATTCTTTGTTTACCAAGCTGTTCAAGTCATTGATAAAACTATAGCAAACATACATTTGTAAGCCTTGGTGCCATTTTATAGAACTTTAGAACAGTGATACCACCAGAAAGGATCTTAGCACACCATTTCTTTATAAGTTGCTGAATGTGAACATCCCCAGTGTCTACTTTAGAAAATGAACATACGCTTCCATGAGACACCCAACAAGAATGCTACAGATTTGGAGATTAGCACCATGATGCATGGATATGATAATGCCATTAATTCAAGGTGGCTGGCTTAGCAAGTCACAAAAAACGGTGCTACATACAGTGTTAAATGATCATTCTAAGCTCTGAAAAGTGTTTGATAAGGAATATAAGCAACACAGTTGAAAATATCTTTCAAGATAAGTACCCAAGAAGCTTTGTAAAAACCTGTTGACATATAATACTTTAGCCCCATAGAAGGAGTAAGGCAAGAATGGTTCTTCCCACATTATTTAAAGATATTAGAATTTTAAAAATCATAGCAAAGTCACCTTCATTTGGTCTATATTTCTACCAACTATCATCTTCCAAAGAAGTCTCATAAGTAATGACTCGGGGGGAAAGTCAAATTATATGACATAATCAAAATTTTTCTCTAGAAGACCAGCATTGCAATGAATTATTATAGAAACCTTTTCCTTTGGAGAGGAAAAGAGCCAGGAAGAAGTTAACATAAACCCCTAGGCAGAATATCTTGCCAGGAAAATGACTTCTAGTGATATAAACACAAGGCAGATGTTGTAAAAGGAATTTAAAATTTCATTAAACATGAAGTCTTCCAACCATTACCTGTGTTCACACAAGACAATAGCTACAAGCTGGATTTTTTAGAATCATTTTTAGTTAGCATCTTATTAAAAAAGAAATCACAGTTCCTCCCAAGCCAACAAGATAAAAATCATTTTTGAAACAATAGAATTTCAACATTTTCATACATTATAAAAAACTGCTATAAAACAATGAATGTGTCTTGATTTATCTAATTTAGGGCAACTTCTGTGTTTCTTTCTTATCCTTACAGTACAAGTTCTATTAAACAGAAAGCAAAAAAATAAAACCAAAAACTGTCCTTATACTGGATTTTCTTAATAGATGGTAAAAATTGAATCACACTGATAATTTTAAGAAGAATCAAAGAAGAATCATAATGACTATTGTAGTGGCTCATTTCATATATTTCAGTTACATTTTTGCAAACTAGATTATAACTCAGGAATGTAGTAGCACATTATATTGGATTCCTTTAAGTTTCCACTTAAATTTCTCTCCTTGTTTTACTTAAAGGTCTTTGATTCACTTTTCGGTTTTATATTTTGAACCATACTTTTAAAAGTCAAAACATTTTTTTTCTTTTTTTTTTAAGTTCAAGGATGGTGTTTATGTGACAACTATTGAATTTTGTACTATTAGATTCAAAACTGAATTTAATAAAAAATTTCAGATTATTAAAGTTGCTTAAGAGCTTTCACAATTGAAATTGTAGTTTTATTTTAAATCTACTTCCTAGGTAGTCTCTTAGCTTTTTTTTTTTTTTTTTCCCCACCTTAGGGCATGAATGCAATATATCATTCTTGGTATGTTTTTCCGATCATAGACATCTGTTGTTTCTGGATAAAATATCTGGAAAACAAAAGAGACAACGTGTTTATTATGTGTTGCTTCTCACAATCAATTTAACTCCCCAGATACTCTGATTGGCCTGGCTATTCTATATTTGTTCCAGTGAAGAAAGCCTCTCAACTGTGGCTTCATCTTGCTCTACAGACAGACCAGTCCCGCACCTAGTTCCCTGCCTCTCTGCATGCCTCTTTGGGGCCAAAAGAGGAGGGGTGAAGTTCACAGTCAGCCTTTCCACATGGCTGAATCCATAGTCCTGGGCGGCAGTGTTTCTCTCTGTATCCTCACTCCTGTGACTTCTCATGGGCCTGAGAAGGTGGCCTTCTTACAGTACTTTACAACACTATTAAAAAATTGGGGGCTGGGGTTGTGGCTTAGCAGTAGAACGCTTGCCTAGCACATGCGAGGCCCTGGGTTCGATCCTCAGCACCACATAAAAATAAATAAAATAAAGGTATTGTGTCCAACTACAACTAAAAAATAAAAATAAAAAAAATAAATAAAAAGTTGATACATCGGGCTGGGGCTGGGGCTGGGGCTTAGTGGTACAGCACTTGCCTAGCATATGTGAGGCACTGGGTTCGATTCTCAGCACCACATGTAAATAAATAAATTAAATAAAGGTCCATCAACAACTAATAAAAACATATTTTTTAAAAGTTGGTACATAGTTCTATGAACATGAGTTCATTCATATACAACACTCACACATGGGTTTTTGTTTCCACTTAAAGTAATACCTTTCCACTGAATAAAATCTAGAAAGTTAGTGAAGTATGAAGGAAAAATACCTATAATCCCACCTATACTTTTACTGTTTTTTTTTCTATGAGTCTCTTTTTTCTTATGTTTATGTATACATGAAAACAAAATTGTATATATCTAAAGCTATTCAAAATACTTAATAAAAGATGACAATTAAACGTCCTTTTTATAATTCTTTAATAGTACTATATCTAGCAAATGCATACGATTCTTTCATATTTTTGAACCATAGCTTAACCATTCCCTGTGGCTGAACATTTGTTTGGTTCCCAATTTTTTCCTTATTCGAAACCACTGCAGTGAATGCACTGGCATTTTTGAGTATCTGATTTCTTATTTTAGATAATCATCTAAATATGGAATTGCTAGATTGAAAGATCTGAGCATCAAGGATTTAAAGAAAATATTTTTAGTTGTAGATGGACACAATACACACAATATTCACACTGTTTTTCTTAAACTTAAAAAAACTAAATCAGAACATATTTCAAAGGGGACACACTAACTTTTCTGTTCCTAAGCAATGCAAAAATGAATAATTAGGCTTGAAACTTATAAGAGTTATGTTGAGACTAAACATAAATGTCGCTTGCTTTCAGTAAATATTTTACACAATTTGACATAAAAACTAACATCGTATGCAAGATGGTAGTATTTAATATCCAAGAGCAATTTTCTATTGGACATTGAAAAAAGCAGAGAAAAGAATAAAGCAAAGTTTCTCAAGCTAACAATGTGTAGTTTCTACACACTTAAAGAAATGTCTGTAGCCTGGGAAGTTTTCAAAGGCCCTTCGAGCTTTACTTTTAATATTTTCTGTCAGTGTCAGTGAAAAGAGGCTTCTCGATTCAGAAGAGCTAGGTTTAAAGCTCTATGTAAGTAGAGAACGACTACAATTCTCACCCTACACCTTGCTGTATTATTAAACTCTCCCCATCCCCCTTTTAAAAATGAGAACCTTCTACATTCATATTTCTCCTGGAAAATCCTCATAAATGTATCTTCCTTCAGCAAGGAGATGGAATCAACTTGCAATTAACCAGACTGTTGTATTATGTCTCCAGCCCCTTACATGGTGCTGAGCTCAGAATTAATAAAAAAAATTAAGGGTAAATCACAGACAAAATTAATCCAACACACTGTTAGCCTCTCAACCCTAAAATATAATGTATCAATTACTTCATGATAACAATCAATATTAAAATAGAATCTGCTCTATAGATCACTTGTTTGGCCCCAAAGCTCACAAAGGTTTTAATCATATCTATTGAATTACCTGGTTGTCTTAATCAGATGTTGCTTCACTAAGAAAAATCCTATTCAAATTTGTTTACCACCCAGACCCATTTAATACCCAGAAATATGAATTCTATATGACAACTAGTGCCCCAAAGGGATAGCATTTAATATTCTAGGCACTATAAGAGAAGGGAAACTAGGCCAGGTATACACATATAATGGCACACACATATAATCCCAGCAATTCAGGAGGTTTAGGCAGGAGAATTACAAGTTTGAGGCCAGCCTCAGTAACTTAGTGAGGCCCTAAGCAACTTAGTGAGACCCTATCTCAAAGTAGAAGAATAAAATAAAAAGCGCTGGGGATGTAACTCAGAGGTAAAATGCCCCTGGGTAAAATGCCATCTCTAGTACTGAGAGAGAAAAAGAAAGGGAGGGAGGGAGGAGAGGAAGGGAGAAAAGAGTGGGAGAAACTAGATTGATAATTTCAAGAAAAATGAGACTGCTAAAACAGAAATGAGCAGAAATATAATGAAAAAAAAAGCATTCATAATTTACATTAAGAAATCTTTTTTTTTTTTTCTTTTGGTCATGGTGGGTGTTTTTAACAGCAAATCTGGCTTAATCAGGAGACAACACAGATCTTCATATGTTGGTAGCTATTGCCTTTTCCTCAAGCTGAAACCCTCCTAAATCACCCTCTTAAAATAGCTGTATCAACTAAGCAATGCAAAGAATTGGGCTATTGATACATATGATGGAGCTCAAGAATAACACAACAAGTGTAAAAATGTCAACCTCGTCTACTGTATGATTCCATTTCATGTCATTCTCAAAGTAACAAAATTAGTAGTAGATAACATATTAGTGGTTGACAGGGACTGGGCAGTGGGAGGGATATAGCATAAAAGACCACTTCTCTGTGGTAGCTGTATCTTGACGGTGGTGGTGGCTACACAAATTTATTCATGGGCCACAACTGCACAGATCTACACACTAACATTCTCACAAATGAATGCATGTAAGAACGGTGAAAATTGAATAAAGTCTGTAGTCTACTTACATTCACACCCCAGAATCAACTTAATGCTGTACTACAGTTATGTAACACATCACTGTTGGAGGAAGCTGAATGAAGGATACACACATAGGTGCACTATTTTTGCAACCTCCTGTGATTTTATAGTTCTTTCAAAATAAGAAGTTCAAGTAATAGCTCTATAACTTTTTATCAAATAAAATTTCCTCCTTTCCCCAAGGTATTTATTTCTCTCACAAGCTTAAGAGTACTTGCTCCTTGAATTTAACAAGCATTGAATCCTTACAGAGTCAATGAAGATCTTTTCAAGAATAAAAGCTACAAGCCTCTAGACTTTAAAATTTAAAGTGATTGTATGATTTATAATAATTTGGGAAAATAAATTGATAATAATTTATAGTGATACAATGAGACAAAGGATTTGACTGTCTTAAATCAACCATCTATGAGCTGAAGATTCTTCTGATCTTGTTTATGCATACACACTTTCACCTGGCTGCTGTCATGTTGTACCCCTACCTCATTCTGAGTTCTTCCATCTATTACTTTGCATAAGCCTTTCAATATTTTTGTTTGGTTCTCACATTTCTCATTCTTGCATTAACATAGTTCAGTCTGCCAAATCATTTATCATAATGAGGTATTTCTGCACCACCTTTTCGTCTCCCCAGTTCAGGATCCAGTATGTGAAGGCTTACCTTGGGTAGTCCAATAGACTCCATGGCTCTCAACCACTGGACAGTATTATCTGTATGTCGAAAATGAAGGCCAGACTTCTAATGTGAGGTTAGGAGGGGGAAACAAAGAAAGAAAGACCACACAAAAAGTGAGTCATTTGTAATAAAGTTTTTCATTAGCAGGATGCTTTTCAATTGTATTTTTCCAAGAACAGAGTTATTAATGCTTATAGAGAACAAATACAGACACAATGAAAAAAAAAAGATTACACTGTATCTCAGCAATATGCACACTTGAGTAATTCTCAACTTGAATCTCAAATACCATTTAATGTCTAGCATATGCCTAAGGATTACGAAATACATGTGCACGTGCACAGGCGGTCATGCATGCATGAACGTATATACATGTGGTGTAAGATTTTGGTAACCATGGTTGAGAAGCCTAGCAACTTCAGGAAAAACTGGATTTTTATAAGACAAAATGCTCTCTTTTCTTTTTTCCTTCTAATCATGAATGTAATATTTCTGTGGAAAATACAAAGATGAAAACGCAAACCACTCTTTGATTCAGAGCTAATTTTAGTACCTGCTCCTCTTATAATTTAATCATAATAAAAAGTAAAATCTTCAGCAGAAGTGTCTTATAAAACATTTTTTCTACATGTACAATTCTTTGTGTCTTCCATTTCTTCTTTACAGTCTTAATCAGCCACTTTTTCTGTAGTCTACAAATAAAACACCCTTGCCTGCATCTCATTATTTAGATTAATGAACCGCTAAGAGTCTTAAAGTGATCTTATATTCTTCACTAATTAGACGTATAAACAATGTTATCTAGTTTTTCCATTTTTAATAAATGTACAAAAAATAACTATATAAAGTTTCATCATATAACTAACAGCCAATGGCAGAGAATCACATTTAGAAAGCCTGGCTCTTCCCACTTTCTATGACCTTCTACAATCTAACATAAAATATAAGAAAATTAATATTTTTGACAAATGCTTATGCCTTTAAATAGTGGTCACTATTTGCCATTGGAGTATGCACTTCAAGTACTTTATACAAATTATTCTAATTTTCCAAACACCCTACAAGGTAATTACCATTACCATTTTTTTAAAGATGAAAAAAGCCAGGCTAAAATGAAGAAGTAATTTACCTAAAGTCAAGTAACTGTTTAGTGGTTGAAAATCTTCCTTGTGCTAAAACTCCCCCAGGGGGGAACACTGGACCTAATGATTGTTTGATGGTTCTTTGGAAGAAATTAGCTAGTTGCTTGAGGGAAGAAGAAAGTGTGGGGTGAGAGGAAAATGAAAACGGGAAGGAGGAAGGAGGGAAGACAATAGAAAATCCAGAGCATTAGCTACCAGGCCATAGGTTTTTTTTGTTTTAGTTGTAGATGAACACGGTACCTATATTTTATTTATTTATGTGGTGCTAAGGATTGAACCCAGTGCATCACATGTGCTAGGCAAGTGCTCTACTACTGAGCCACAGCCCCGGCCATAGTGTTTTGACTGTTTGTACCTAGCACAAATAACTTTTGCAGAATACAAGCCACTCAGTGACAAAGAACAAGTGATGCAGTGATGAAGGAACAAGACAGAAGCAATCTTCAATCAAGTGTGAAGGAAGACAGAGACGAGGACTCTGCACCACTCAACAACTAAATGTTCTCACTTAAAATAATACTCAAATGTCTTCAGCTAATATGAGTTTCTTTATTGATGACAATCTAGTTCCCCATTCAGTCTTGCTGCCTCCTACATCAAAATGACCAAGACATCAAATTGAGCCAGCTCCGGTCCCAAAGAAAACTAGTCTTTGTACCTAAAAAATAGTTTTTTAAAATCACCTACGACAAGCCCAAATCTATGCTGAGCCTTTCACTTCTTCTTCCAGTGGCTTCATGGATATGCATTTTCTTTTTGCCCCAATGAGTTAAATAAATGCAATTTATGGGTTTTTGGTTTCTTTGGCTGATGGGCTTCAGCCATCCCAAATAATGTAACAAAGACACCTTATCTATTTAGTGAAGTAATCCTAAGAAAGTTCTAAATCCTACAGAGCCCTCAGCCCTCAGCCATAAAGGCTTCTTGGAGCTGCAGAGATTAAATTGAAAACAAAAGAAAGTATTTGGTTACAAAGCACACCAGCAAATGTTAGATGTTGTAATTAGTATATTACATAACTGGGCTTGAAACTTTTATTCATCTGTCAGGTAAGATAAAGATACATTGCTTCATGTCAGAGGAACTGAAGGAAAGGGCAGCTATCTTGGTCATATTTTTATAGCAAATGAAGCAGATTTCAAATTCTTTGCTCTAAAAACCTGAAAAATTCTGACTTCAATACCCTACAGTCCATGTTACGACTTTTAACACACTTCAGTGAGAAAATTGTCACAATAACATATTCAATCTATTGATTTGTTTCATTTGCTTCATTATAATGAAAATGGTCTTCCAAACAGGCTCAAAATAATCTCAGTCCACTGTAATTATTTTTAGTGAGACTATTTTCTTTCATTAGTTCTATATATTAATACCAGACTAGATGGCATGATTGTGATCATACTTAGCCAATGGATACTTTTGTTCATAACTTTATATTTCATATAGAAACACAAATTCTTTTCATTTCATATACAGAGTACATGCTGATTTTCTATTGCTATTTCAATGCCAGTAAACAAGGTTCACCTAGTTTATTTTATTTTATTTTTATTTTTTTAAGAGAGAGAGAGAGAGAGAGAGAGAGAGAGAGAGAGAGAGAGAGAGAGAACTTTAATATTTATTTTTTAGTTTTTTTGGCGGACACAACATCTTTGTATGTGGTGCTGAGGATCGAACCCTGGCTGCAGGCAGGCATGCCAGGCAAGCGTGCTACCGCTTGAGCCACATCCTCAGCCCCGGTTCACCTAGTTTAAATTGTATAGATGAGGAATTATGTAAGTTTTATTTGGATGCTAACTTTCCACATAGTAGACTTAGAGCATTTTAGAACTCTGAAGAAGCTTAGAAACCTATTATTGTTGTAATTTACTTATTTTATTGATGTAGAAACTGAGGGAGCAAGTATATACAACACCCGAGCTGACCTAACTTGTCGGTCTCAGGGCTAAGGTTCCCTTGCTGAATCTCTGACCCCAAGTCCAAATATTCTGCTCATTTTTCCACTCAGTGCCTCAGAACAACAACCACTGCCAGTGCTCATTGAGAGCGTTCATCTTTCAGGCACTGCACCAAGTGTCTTCTGTGGGTGATCACATCTGTTCCTCACAAAATTCCTACTAAGAGAGATACTGTTATTATTAAGCCCTATATAAAGTGGTGAGGAAACAGGCTCCAGGAGGTAGAATGTATTTTGCTTCTACAGTTCACATTGCCAACCACTATGCCTATGTCTTCCCTACCTAAGACACACCTAAATACCAACAAGCATTCATTATAAGCTTACAATTTTCAAGGCATTATTCAGAATTCTGCTTGTATCTTTGAGCCTTGTCACCCTGAGTCCTCTCCAAGGAATACCCTTCCTTCCTCTTCTTTCTCTTGTCCATTTCAGCCTGCTTGGGAACACTCACTGCTATAGTTTGAATGTATCTCCCCCAAATTCACATGTTGGAAATGCAAACCCTAAATTAATAGGTTAACAGTTTTGGGAGGTGGGCATTTTGGAGGTAATTAGGATTAGATGAAGTTGTGAGGTTTGGGCCCCCATGAGTGGCTTTATTTAAAAAAAAAAAAAAAAAAGAGGAACAAAGAACTGAGCTAGCACATTTGCTGTTCTGCCATGTGATGCTCTCTGTTATGCCATGATGCAGCAACAAAGGCCTTCAGCAGATGCCGGTGCCATGCTCTTGGACTTCTCAGGCTCTAGAAACATGAGTTAAATAAACCTCTGTTCTTTAATCACCCAGTCTGTGGGAGTCAGTTATAGCAGCAAGTAAGACATCCACCCTGTCACCCTCTGCCTCAGCCATGGAAACCTTCCTGACCCCTTCACCACCCCCACTCCCTTTAGAACTGATCTCTCTTCTGCTGTCCACCAATGCCTTCTCTTCATGGCCCTCCATCAGTCACAATGCCTTCCCAGGCAGGCCACTGCCACCTGGACTGAATCATTCCCTTATGGGATGGACTTTCTTTCTTCTCTCCCTCCCTCCCTCTCTCTCTCCCTCTCTCTCTCACCTTCCTCCCTCCCTCTCTTCTCTCTCTCTTTTCTCTTTCTCCCCTGCTCCCACCCTCCTGTCACCTCCTCTGCAGAGAATGGACTCATCTTTCTAAAGCACACATATTGATCACATCGCAACGCCTGTGTTTATTGTTTCAGTGGCTTCCCCCACACACCAGATGACATCACGGCATCCTCTATGGGGCTGGTGGGGCCTGTGTGCCCTGTGATACCATCTTGGCTTCCTTCCTGGCTTCATCTCCTACCATTGTCCCTTGCTGCAGCCACTTAGCTCTGCAGTTGGGGCCAAGTTCTTATCTTCCTCAAACTCTCACCATGTGGGTTCCCTCTTTCAGACTGTTCTTCCCACTCCCCATCCTCAACTCTGCACATGGATGGCTTTCTTCTCATTTTTTCAGCCTCAGAATAAACTTCCCTCATAGAAGAACTGTCTTCTGCCCGTTGCTATGTCAATAACACAGGCTTTACTTTCTTCCTTCATACACTGATCCAAATTCGCAACCATATCCTTATAGTCTATCTCAACAGCTGTAAGCCTCATGACTTCAGGACCATTCTATTATTAGTATCTGCAACAGTGACTGGCACAGGGAAAGTGTTGGTAAGTATTGTATGAACGAATGAATTATTAGCATAGACTTTACTGGTTCAGAATCCCTAATCCAACAATCTGAAATCCAAAATGCTCTAAAAACTAAAACTTTCTGAGCATTGCTGGCACTCAAATTTCAAATTTCAGAGCATATTTTTATCAGGGCACAACTTTATCTTCTTTCCCTACCACTTTATTGCAATTTATGCTAATGTTCATCTATTAGAGCAATGGTTTTCAAATTTTAGTAGTCTATAAGAAAAGCATTTCCTGCAGGTGAATTATTAGAAGTACAATTTCCAGGGTCCCAGGCCAAGAGATTCTGCCTGACTCAGCAATCTGGGGTGGGGCCAGTTGGCCAGTTTTAGCACACACCTAGTATATGGTCCTGATGAAGGTCTGAGCATTATACTCAGAAGAACAGTGTCAGACTCTGAGCTCCTTTAAAGAATACCAAATAAAGCTCAGAAGATAGGAAAGGAATGAAGGCTTTGGGCTCACTTAAAACTACTATCATTCATTCCTTCACCTAACAGCTATTTTCTAAGTACCACTGTGGACCAGGCCCTGCACCATCGATTGACGACATAGCAGAAAAGGGGCACATGGTTCCTTCTACAAAACAGGACAATCTTTACAATAAACTACAGCATGTCCCTGGGGGACAGTGATAGGTGCCCAGGACACATGGAGTAATCATGTACCCAGGCCTGGGATAGAGAGTGGAGGTAACCTAGAAAGAATACTCATAACTGGAAGGCTTAACTCTAATACCTAGGATATATTTCTAACCCTGAACAAACGAGGGAACAGGGTTATACACTGGCTGGCAGATAAAGAGGATCCAGCAGCAAGAAAGGTCACATCTGCCTAAACGAAGGCTATCAAAGCTGCTGATGCCAACACAGTGTCCTTCAGGACTCAGGGACATAGCCTTGCCTTGGGGATACCATGTCTAACAGGGGGATCATATTTTATGACTGCAGCCTAGGCAGACTCTGCAGCGAGAGCCGAAGTTCACTGAATTCATGGTTTCCAGATGGCACATCAAGGGGCTGGGCAGGGTTAGTGAACATTCCCTTGTGTTTCAACATCTTTGCCTCAGTCTCATGATTTAGTGCTCCTTGGAAAGGATCACGTGATGGACTCTAGTTCCGAAGAACACACGAACAGGAAGTTGTGTCGCCTATTCATGAAGATTTGTCTCTTCATTTTTGTATAAGAGACAAAAAGGCCCTAAAATACAATTTTATGACTACATGGCAAACCACTAAAAATTTCCATCAGGAACACTAGGCACTTTCAGGAACTTAATAAAAGGAAGGAAAAAAGAAAAAGCTCTGTTCTCTAGTGAAGTCACAGAGGGATAGTTTCCATGTGTCCTATGTTTTTCTTGTAGCTCAACAGCATGGAGGGGGTCCCCCACCACAGTTGGCAACAGCCTCGTTCCCTCTGCTGCTTCCCTTCCCCCAGCCCTTTCCTCACCATCACTTCTGCACAGCCCAGTCTTCCGGGGGCCTGATGGGCTGAGAACCCCAACTCAGAGCATTTTCCTCTAGTGATATCTTGCTCAGGGATGTCATTGCCTGCTTAGGCCCTGCAGGTATTTTGTTTCATAACAAGGGACCGAAAATATTTCCCCTGTCACCCTCCCAAAGAGGAGCTGATGTTCATTTAAGCAGTAGGATCTCGGATGCAAAGGGAAGGCTCCTGTTTAAGTAGCCCTGAGGCAATTTCATGAGGTCCAGAGCTGATCTGGAAGAAGACACCTGTATCCAAGGCCATAGTTTGCTCTGAGGCTCACACCCACTGAAGGTTTGTCTTCCCATCTGAGTCTCACTGTCCACAAAGCCAAAGCTAAAGGAAAATCTTCACAATTGTCTCTTCAGGGCAGCTTGAGGTCTATCCCAACTACAATTTATCATGAAATCTACATGGGGGTGTTGGCACTGACAATCCTAGATCTTGGTAATAACTATAATAAGAACATGAAACGGGCTGGGATTGTGGCTCAGCAGTAGAACGCTCAACTAGCATGGGTGGGACCTGGGTTTGATCCTCAGCCCCACATAAAAATAAAGGCATTGTATTGTGTCCATCTACACCTAAAGAATAAATGTTTTAAAAAAATAGAACATGAAAAAGAAGAAGAGTCAGACTCTAAAATGTGGACAAACATTTATTTTGTGGAGGGGGTGTGAATACAGGCTTTTTTCTGCACTTCTCTGAATTTCTAAAAATAGTCATTGAACTTTAATTTTGGCTGACTTGGTCATTGTTTTATTAAAATCTTGTGAAAGACCATTAGTAGCTGGTTCTCAGAGTAAAACATATGACTTTATAAACCCAAACTTAAACAATTATTCACAACATTATTCAAGCAAAAAACTTGTGCTCAGTTGTCTTATTGTCTAGATGATGTAGATGGACTCAAAAGAGATTTGTCAAATGACCTTGTCCACTGTGAGCCTCAATGATTATTTAAACATTTGAGCTGAATTCAATATATACATTTAAAAAATATATTTTGTCTAAAATGGATTTTCCATTTATTTCATTTTCAACTATACTCAACATTGTCCGTGCAATTTTAAGAAAAATAGCATTCATTATAAGAGTCATAAGTTTTAGGAACACTTGAAAATCTGCAGATAAAAAAAAAAAAAACCTTGATATGAAGATCTAAATATGAGCTGCAGATGTAGCTTGGTATAGTGCATTTGCCCAGAATGTGTGGGATCCTGGGCAAATAAAACAAACAAAACAAAAAACAAACAAAACAAAACAAAAACTAAATACATTAAGAGAATAAAGAATCAAGTTTCAAAGAAACTTTAGAAATCTTGGCCTGTAGTTAGTTGATAAGAGATCACATATTCCAGGATAGAACACTACATATTTTAAATTCCCTTCTGAAGACATATCTTTAATGCATAAGCTTTTTATGTAGTTGTCTACTTTTTCCTTTTTCCATGTTTTAGTGGAAATTTTCAAATATTAGAAAGGAGGTGGAATAGTATACTGATCCCCTGTATACCCACCCCACACCTTCAGTAGTTATGAGCTCATGGCCAGTTTTGTATCATCTATCCATCCTTCCTTTGATTATTTTGAAGCAAAATACCATTTCATCTACAAATACCTTGATATATATCTCTAAAAGATCTGGATTTAAAAAAAAATAATATAAGATTGGTGTTTACCATGATTTTTTTTCTCCCCCTAGCTCCTTCCAAATTTAAATAATGGTATTTTGTTGTCACTGCTGTTGTTTTTTCTTCAAGAGGGCTATGGCGACTTTTTATTTTCTGATTCTTCCCAAATTAGCCATGAAACAGTTCTTAAACAAGTTGCAAACAAAAAGATTAGTCTTATTTTGTTTTAAACACCAAACAGAAAAGAATTCCTACCTGGTCATTCAACATTACTACTTATTTTATTACATTGGCCTTAATTCTTTAGGGGCATAAGTTCAAGTCCCAAGTAGGTATTTAGTTCCTCAATGAAAAGTTGGGAAGCAATAAACTGTTGGTGGTGGAAAAAACAGAGGTGTAACATGCCCCCACTCCTACATTTACTGGCACTAATAAAGCTTCAAATGTCCTCCATGAAAGAATAATGGGGGAGGCATTGAGTAGCTTCCAACATGAGAGGTCTCTCAGCCTGGAAATAGAAACACTTTCCTTTTCAAAACTGTTGCTGCCTCAGGAATACTTATTAACAGTCTCCAAATACCAAGGACACCCCCTCTCCCAAATCTTTACAGACACAGTAGAAGTGAAGAGAGGAAAAGGAAGTGAAATACCAAACTTTCACTTCTTTTATCCAGAAGCAAAAACCATTTAGATCTTGGTTACCTTATAACGCGTTTGTTCCACATCATAGATCTTTTTCTCTGATACCATTTTTGGGGCAAAGAACTTGGCTAACTTCGCAAGGTAAACTCCATTCCGAAGCCCTTCTTCCAGTTCAGTGGTTGGGGGCAATTCTTCCACTAAGCAGACTTCCATCCACCTAAAAAGATTATAAAATGTGACTCCAGTTGGATAACTTTCTATAAATGCAGACGTGTAACATTTCTCCATGTGTGTTGGACACATTAACAAAGGGAGCAGGATTTCAAACATTTTCAGGTGTCAGTGGTGGGAAGGGACGACTTACTGGGCAGAATAAGGATTCAGAACATGAAAAGAGAAGGGGGCCTAAAAGCCCAGGGCACTGAGCTCATTATCATGCTAGAGCTTGCCAACTTTACCTTTATCCAAGGCTTTGCCAATTATCTTTTGTGCCAAAGAAAGGGAAAGGCCAAACCATTTTGTATGAAAGGAATTAGTCCTGACATTAAAGAAAAACTCATTCCAAGTTTATGAGCCCTTAGCAGAGGCAATTCTTTTACCTTGGTAAGAGCAGAGTCCAAAGTACAGTAAAATATGCAGTTGTTTCAGCTCAGAAATGACTATCAGGAAAGGGTCAGAGGCATGGCAAAGGTTATCAGAAATTTAGAAAGCAGATCAGACTTTTTGAAAGAACACTCACTCCCTTTGCCAACATTAGGACATACTAAAAACACTCACCTTTATGGGAAACTACAGTACCTACTAGGTTCTGAAAAAAATATTTTAAACAAAGATCAGATTAAATCTTAGGACACTGTATCAGTATTATAAAAAAGAGAGCACCAAGGTCATGATTGGCTCAAGGACGCACTGTAGGAAAGAAGCCAGGCCAGTCCACGCACTTCACACTGGAATGCCAAGAGTGTGCCAGAGTAATGAGGGAGGGTGCTCTTCCTACCCATTCTCAAGTAGTCATTCTCTACTGCAAAACCTGAGAGGCAGGTGTATAGTTCTCAGTGGGAGAATTCCCAGCTCCCTGCAACCCAGCCACCGATCCACACACTAATGAAACTTAATGTGAATGCCATACCTATCTAGGCAGGTCCCCAGAGAGCATCTGCATGGACAAACTTGGATCCCCTCAATATTTGGAAGACAGTAGAGTGCTATTCTGCGATATTAACAACCAATCCTTATTCAATCTGCAAATTCTTGTAGTTAAAAATTATACCTTCTAAAACTCAACAAGCTCCTAATAAATAAGGAGTAATTACTGACCATTTGTTAGGCACCATAAAAAAATGGAATATACAAGCTGGGCATGGTAGTGCATGCCTACCATTCCAGCAAATCAGGAGTCTAAGGCAGAAGATTCCAAGTTCAAAGCCAGCCTCCAGAAACTTAGCAAGGACCTAAGCAATTTAGTGAGACCCTGTGTTAAATAAAAAAATAAAAAGGGCTGGGGATGTGGCTCAGTGGTAAAGCACCCCTGGGTTCTATCCCTGATTCCAAACAAAACAAACAACTAAAAGGAACTATGAAAAGAAAAATAGAAAAACAAATCCTACCTTTAAAAAGCATCCAATACAACTGATCGCCTAGCATGTGTAAGACCCTGAGCTGGATTTTTAGCGCCTCAAAAAAAAAAAAAGGGTGTGTGTGTGTGTGTAATTGTGAAGCCGATGCAATTCCAAGGAAAAACCAGAGAACCATGCAAGAGATGCTCTATGCCCACTGCTACATGGTAGAGCACAATAAGAATGTTCGGGAATAAAGGGGGAGCTCTGGGTTATCACGGGAGAAATTGGGGAAATCATCAAGAAAGTGGTGTGATCTGGACTTAGCATAGAAGAATGGAGGTTTGGCAAGGCAAGAAGGAAACCATCAGCTAAAGAGCTGGACAAACCAAAGGCATCACAGAAACATGGCTGACTTGTTGTGAAATCCCAGAGGCAGCTGTGGGCCTTTGGGGGTCACAGGGAGAAAAGAGAAATGAGGCTGGGCATCTGCAGTCAGGTAGGCCTCTGGAGGACTGAGCCCAGGAGCCTGCGAGGAGAAGTGTTGACATTTGTTGCCATAGGAAGCAGGAAGCTCCTGGCAGCTTCACAGAAGAGGACTGACATGCTGACAGCAGTAATTACAGCAAATTAATCTACATAATGGATGCCTCAGAGACACAGTGCTGTCAGGCCTTTCCCACTGTGAGGTCCTGAGGGACTGGATTAGACAGGAAGAAATGGGAAGGGAGGAAGCCAAGAGACATTTCAAGGAAACTGGAGCAGGATTCTGTGACAGTTTAGGAAGAGGGGGATGGTCAATGGAAGGAGAAATAACACCAAAGAAGGCGTATGACACAAAGAGACTAGGACTTGGCTACCCAGTGATGTCTGGTATCACTGACGCCAGTCCTCTAATCTCTCAGGGCCCCATTTCTCTCCTGTGCTAAAGGATGGGGTAGTGGTGAGAACTGGATGATAAAGACCCCCTGTTCCAGTTCTAACATTTTAGGGATTTGTGAAACTATGAGTGCAAGAAATAAAACAAGATAATGAAGAACATGGTTTTTTCTATGAGCCTTGCTTCAAATAAACTTAAGAGAATAATGGATTTGTTAAATTAAACAAAAAGGAACAAGTTATAATGCTGCCTTTAAAAAAACAGGCGAAAATAAGAGCCAATGAACTAGGCCAAGTATATTAGTCAGCTTTCTATCACTATAATGAAAAAACCTGAGATAATTGAATTATAAAGGGGAAAGGTTTATTTTGGCTCACAGCTTTGGAGTTTCCAGTTCAAGATCAGATAGACCCTTTACTTAGGGTTTCTTGTGGGGTGCCAGATGGCAATGACAGGGAGCATGTGGTAGAGAAAATGGTTCATCTCATGACCAGAAAGCAAAAGAGAAAGAGGAAGGGGCCACAATAACACAATTCCCTTCACAGGCATGCCTCCAGTGACCTAAGGAACTCCCACAGGACCTTTATCCTAAAGTTGTAGAGCACCTCTCAATAGCACCAAGCAGGTGGGGGGGCCACACCTTTAACTTATGGACCTTTGGGGGAACATTCAACATCCAAACTAAAGCACCAAGTTTCTAACTTAAATAAACTAATTAGAATACTAGGCTATTGCACATAAAAACACAATCTGTTTTCACCCAATGATGTTTTCAAATAATTATCTGAAAAAAGTGAAAAAATACACGGCAATATACAAATGTTTTATAACAACCTGATAATCAGTGTATATGTGTGTGCTAGGGAGAAAGGTAAATTGACAACTGGTAGACTTGCACTTTCTTTAAAAAGAGAGATAATCACGTCTATTTTTGTCTATATTAGAATATATGTGCAGTTGGCTAAAACACTGACAATACAAAAACTTAGATCACCTATGGTCTATTTGAAATATAGATATGGCTATATTTGTTTTGGTTTTGGTTTTTTTGTGGGGGGTACCAGGGATTGAACTCGGGAGCCCTCGACCGCTGAGCCACATCTCCAGCCCTATTTTGTATTTTATTTAGAGACAGGGTCTCACTGACTTGCTTAGCACCTTGCTTTTGCTGAGGCTGGCTTTGAACTCATGATCCTCCTGCCTCAGCCTCCCAAGCTGCTGGGATCACAGGTGTGTGCCACTGCGCCTGTCCAGAGATGGCTAATGTTATGACATGAACTGCTCAAAGACAAAGACCATTTCTTCTTTCTCTTGATAGTCCTCTAATACTTGGCAATCTGTCTACAAATAGTGGATATCCAACAAATGGCTATTAAATAGAAGATTCTTATGACTTTTCCAAACATCATGGTTACATTGTAAAATTTATTAGGATACTGACAGGCTTACAAAATGTTGTGGTTTTTTTGTTTGTTTGTTTTGGGGGACTGGGGATTAAACCCAGAGGCACTTAACCACTGGGCCACATCCCCAGCCTTTTTTATGTTTTGAGGCCAAGTCTCACTAAGTTGCTTAGATATCACTAAGTTGCTAAGGCTATCTTTGGACATGCAAGCCTCGAATTTCAGCATCCTGAGCTACTGGGATTACAGATATGCAACACCATGCCCCATCAAAATATCACATTCTTACAACATTAGGCATCAATGGAGCTATCTCCTTTTCACTGCCATTAATACTGGATTTTAATGTTTCATAGGGATTATCATTAAATCTTCACAATCACTCTACATGGAAGAGATCCTACAGATTTTGATATTGTTCTCAGATCCTGATGATTTTTTTTGAGATGATTCCTTAACTTTTCTGAGGTTCAGAAAACTCAAGGCCACACAGCTGGTAAAGTAAAAGAATTCGATAAAGCTGCCAGGGACCTCTACCCCTCTAATTCCAACCTTTACTTCCCTTCTCATAATTCATTCAACAACAACAACAAAAATTGGCTCCTCCAGTCTGGGTCACAGCCTAGTACAAAACAAAAGTCATAACAAGACCCTCCCAGTGACTTCCAGAGCAGAAGTTTCATGGTTTGAAACCACAAGTGCTCTATGATTCCAGGATAGGTGCTATTGTCTCAGAAATCCCTCTTTGTCATCTACTCGGTAACCATCATGACAAATGGTGCAGGCCAGCTTTTGTGGGTACTTCAGAAAGACAGAGAAGCTGAGGTGCCAGCTGAATGGAGTCATCCCTTCAAGGGCTCCTGCAAGCCTTATCAATAGTTCTTTGGTAAGATACAATTGGAAACGCCTGTCAATTATTGGTCAGTATGTGATCAATAAACACAAGACTATTCTCCTGGACAAGGGAGACTCTGCTGACAGAATAACCAGTTAGACTAGTACTTACTGTTACCCTAAGGTATTAATACCTCACAATGAAGCAGGAACCAGAATGAGCAAAATTTAAGCTAGAGCAGGCCATCATGGGATGAATCTCTTTTTGATCTTTTCAAAGTACAAGGAAGAGAACTTCTAGCACAGATACCATATTGTTCAACCCAAAGACCAGGAGACAACTACAAGTGGCCACTGGTCAGGGTCTACAATCCCAGCAGCATTGCATCTGTGTAGGGTTGGGGTGAGGGGCTGGGATATGACCATAGAAGATGAGGAAAAATGATGTGCACCAGTCCTAGGTCTGGCTTACAAACACCTCCCTATCTACCAGCTCGGCCCACCATCACCATGAAAGACAAAGTACAAGACTTCCACCAGCCTG